CAATCATAAAATGGCAACAATACAATACAGTCATCGAAAGGTAACAAGACAATCATAGACAGGTAACAATACAATCATAGAAAGGTAACCATACAATCATAGAAAGGTTACAATACAATCAGAGAACGGTAACCATGCAATCAAAGAAAGGTAAAAGTACAATCAGAGAAAGGTAACAATACAATCAGAAAAAGGAAACACTACAATCATAAAATGGTAACAATACAATCACATAAAGGTAAAAATACGATAATAAAAAGGTTACAATACAATCATAGAAAGGTAACAATACAATGCTCATTGAAAGGTAACAATATAGTCATAGAAAGATACAATATAATCATAGAAAGGTAACAATACAATCATAGAAAGGTAACAATATAATCATAGAAAGGTAACAATACAATCACATAAAGGTAACAATACAATCATAAAAGGGTTACAATACATTCATAGAAAGGTAACAATACAATGAGTGTTGAAAGGTAACAAAACAATCATAGAAAGGTAACAATACAATGATTATTGAAAGGTAACACTACAATCATAGAAAGATACCAAAACAATCATAGAAAAGAAACAATACAATCATAGAAAGGTAGCAACACAATCATAGAGAGGTAAAAATAAAATCATTTAAAGGTAACAATACAGTCATCATTGAATGGTTACAAAACAATCCCAGAAAGGTAACACTACAATCATAGAAAGGTAACAATACAATCATAAAAAGGAAACAATACAATCATAGAAAGGTAACAATACAATCACAGAAAGGTAACAATACAATCATAGAAAGGTAACAATACAATCATAGAAAGGTTACCATATACCCATACAAAGGTAAAAATGAAATCATAGAAAGGTAACAAAACAATCATCAAAAGGTTACCATATACTCATAGAAAGGTAACAATACAATGAAAGAAAGGTAACAACACAATCATAGAGAGGTAAAAATAAAATCATTAAAAGGTAACAATACAATCACCATTGAATGGTTACTAAACAATCCCAGGAAGGTAACAATATAATCATAGAAAGGTAACAATACAATCACATAAAGGTAAAACTAAAATCATAGAAAAGTAACAATACAATCATATAAAGGTTACTATATACTCATATAAAGGTAAAAATACAATCATAGAAAGGTAACAAAACAATCATAAAAACGAAACAATACAATCATAGAAAGGTAACAATATAAAGGTAACAATACAATCATAGAAAGGCAACAAAACAATGATAAAAAGAAAAAAAAACCATCATAGAAAGATAACAATACAACCACAGAAAAGTAACAATACAATTATAGAAAGGAAACAATACAATCATAGAAAGGAAACAAAACAATCGTAGAAAGATAACAATACAACTACAGAAGTATAACAATACAATCATAGAAAGGAAACAATACAATCATAAAAAGGAAACAACACAATCATACAAAGGAAACAATAGAATCATACAAAGGTAACAAAACAATCATAGAAAGGTAACAAAACAATCATAGAAAGATAACAATACAACCACAGAAAGGTAACAATACAATCATAGAAAGGTTACCATACAATCATAGAAAGGTAACAATACAATCATAGAAAGGAAACAATACAATCATAGGAAGGTAACAATATAAAAGTAACAATGCAATCATAGAAAGGAAACAATACAATCATAGAAAGGTAACAATATAAAGGTAACAATGCAATCATAGAAAAGCAACAAAACAATCATAAAAAGGAAACAAAACAATCATAGAAAGATAACAATACAATCATAGAAAGATAACAATACAACCACAGAAAGGTAACAATACAATCATAGAAAGGAAACAATACAATCATAGAAAGGTAACAATACAATCATAGAAAGGTTACCGTATACTCATACAAAGGTAACAAAACAATCATAGAAAGGTAACAAAACAATCATAGAAAAATAACAATACGATCATAGAAAGGTACCAATACAATCCTAGAAAGGAAACAATACGATCATAGAAAGGTTACTATATACTCATAGAAAGGTAACAAAACAATCATAGAAAGAAACAATACAATCATAGAAAGGTAACACTACAATCACAGAAAGGTAACAATACAATCATAGAATGTAACAATACAATCATAAAAGGGTTACAATACATTCATAGAAAGGTAACAATACAATGATTGTTGAAAGGTAACAAAACAATCATAGAAAGGAAACAATGCAATGATTATTGAAAGGTAACACTACAATCATAGAAAGGTACCAAAACAATCATAGAAAGGTTACACAACAATGATCATTGAAAGGTAACAATACAGTCATAGAAAGATACAATTTAATCATAGAAAGGTAACAATATAATCATAGAAAGGTAACAATACAATCACAAAAAGGTAACAATACAATCATAAAAGGGTTACAATACATTCATAGAAAGGTAACAATACAATGATTGTTGAAAGGTTACAAAACAATCATAGAAAGGTAACAATACAATGATTATTGAAAGGTAACACTACAATCATAGAAAGGTACCAAAACAATCATAGAAAGGAAACAATACAATCATAGAAAGGTAACAACACAATCATAGAGAGGAAAAAATAAAATCATTTAAAGGTAACAATACATTCATCATTGAATGGTTTCAAAACAATCCAAGAAAGGTAACAATACAATCATAGAAAGGTAACAATACAATCATAAAAAGGAAACAATACAATCGTAGAAAGGTAACAATACAATCACAGAAAGGTAACAATACAATCATAGAAAGGTAACAATACAATCATAGAAAGGTTATCATATACCCATACAAAGGTAAAAATACAATTATAGAAAGGTAACAAAACAATCATAAAAAGGTTACCATATACTCATAGAATGGTAACAATACAATCAAAGAAAGGTAACAACACAATCATAGAGAGGTAAAAATAAAATCATTAAAAGGTAACAATACAATCATCATTGAAACAATACAAAACAATCCCAGAAAGGTAACAATACAATCATAGAAAGGTAACATACAATCATAGACAGGTAACAAAATAATCATAGAAAGGTAACATTACAATCACATGAAGGTAAAAATGCAATCATAGAAAGGTAACAATACAATCATAGAAAGGTTACTATATACTCATACAAAGGTAAAAATACAATCATAGAAAGGTAACAAAACAATCATAAAAAGGAAACAATACAATCATAGAAAGATAGCAATATACTCATAGAAAGGTAACAATACAATCATAGAAAGGTAACAATACGATCAAAGAAAGGTAACAATACAATCATAGAAAGGAAACAATACAATCATAGAAAGGTAACAATATAAAGGTAACAATACAATCATAGAAAGGCAACAAAACAATCATAGAAAGATAACAATACAACTACAGAAAGGTAACAATACAATCAAAGAAAGGAAACAATACAATCATAGAAAGGAAAAAAAAATCATAGAAAGATAACAATACAATCATAGAAAGATAACAATACAACCACAGAAAGGTAACGATACAATCATAAAAAGGAAAAAAAAAACAATCATAGAAAGATAACAATACAATCATAGAAGGATAACAATACAACCACAGAAAGGTAACAATACAATCATAGAAAGGAAACAATACAATCATAGAAAGATAACAATACAACTACAGAAAGGTAACAATACAATCATAGAAAGGTAACAATACAATCATAGAAAGGAAACAATACAATCATAGAAAGGAAACAAAACAATCATAGAAAGATAACAATACAACTACAGAAAGGAAACAATACAATCATAGAAAGGAAACAAAACAATCATAGAAAGATAACAATACAACTACAGAAAGGTAACAATACAATCATAGAAAGGTAACAATACAATCATAGAAAGATAACAATACAACTACAGAAAGGTAACAATACAATCATAGAAAGGAAACAACACAATCATAGAAAGGTAACAATACAATCATAGAAAGGTAACAAAACAATCATAGAAAGGAAACAATACAATCATAGAAAGGAAACAACACAATCATACAAAGGAAACAATACAATCATAGAAAGGTAACAAAACAATCATAGAAAGGTAACAATGCAATCCTAGAAAGGAAACAATACAATCATTCTAAGGAAACAATACAATCATACAAAGGTAACAAAACAATCATAGAAAGGAAACAATACAATCATAGAAAGGTTACCATATACTCATAGAAAGGTAACAAAACAATCATAGAAAGGAAACAATACAATCATAGAAAGGTAACAATATAAAGGTAACAATACAATCATAGAAAGGAAACAATACAATCATAGAAAGGTAACAATATAATCATAGAATGGTAACAATACAATCATATAAGGGTAACAATACAATCATAAAGGGGTAATAATACAATCATAGAAAGGTTACCATATACTCATAGAAAGTTAAGAAAACAATCATAGAAAGGTAACAATACAATCATAGAAAGGCAACACTACAATCACAGAAGGTACCAATACAATCATAGAAAGGTACCAATACAATCATAGAAAGATAACAATACAACTACAGAAAGGTAACAATACAATCATAGAAAGGAAACAATACAATCATAGAATGGTAACAACACAATCATATAAGGGTAACAATACAATCATAGAAAGGTAAAAATAATCATAGAAAGCTTACAATACGATCATAGAAAGGAAACAATACAATCATAGAATAATATAAATTTTTGATAAATTTCATGGTTATGTACCATGATGCTACGTTTAGAGGGACAAACATATCAAACGATACATGCATATGGGACCAATAGATAAGTATGTTTAAGTCCCAGAGTACATGTTTTCTACTATTTTATCATTCAATAAAGCAATATTTCCTTTTCTACATTCTTTTTTTGTTAGTTAGTTACCAAAGTGCGTTTGGTATTGATAACAAATTTTGAAAAATATCGTACACACAATGTATATTTATACAACGGTGAGATAAAAATTTGGTTTTCGTAAGGCATGATAATGAAATTGCCACACAGGTAGACTTTAAATATCTTCCTGTTTGTGAATTAGCTTCTAAATGAAGCGAATTTTATATTTGTCCTATTTGGTATTTATTTGTTTGAAAGGTAAGTCAGACATAAAGCGTATTTTGCTTTTTTTGTAAATTAAAACCTTTATATATAATAAATAAAAGGATATGTGGAATACACATCAATGAGACCGCAACCCAACTGCACAAATAACAAAAATAGATCTTGATGGTAACATACAGTTATCAACAATAGACAACTGTCTTAACAATAAGCCAAGCTCTCAATCGTCCGGAATCTAAAAAAGATTTTATTCGAACAATTTAATTTAACAGCCACCATCAAACATGTGATATCATCACCAATTCTCCGAATAATACAAAAGACAAAAACAATAAGATATGACAGAAGGCAACAACTGACTAGGTTCCTTACTTAAGACCGGCACATTAATCAATGACGTGGTTCAACATTTTTTTAAAGAACTTAATCCTCCCCCTGTATTGTGTCGCTTATCAATTTCCTGTTTATTGAATACTTAAAAATATTCTAAAACAAATTGGCCATGTATGAAATTTTTGTCACATTTTTATCATTAACTACAAATCACCGCTTTATGAAATTTGGAATCAAGCTATATGTGAGCATGCTATACTGTGGGATGCATTTGTATATAAACTGCTCATCAACTTCTAGACAACAAAATACTATTGCGGGGTATCACAGTTCAATACGTTATACATTATTAAAACTAAGTTATTTTAAGAGGAATGGCCAGTTTTCACAGGTCTCTTTTTGTTTCTATCATAAAGGGGGGGGGGCAATTTATTGGATTTCGTACATAGCAGCTTTAAAAGTTTTATACTTAAAACAATATTTAAAAAAAAAAATCATATTACATCAATGAAACTAAAATGGAAACAATCTTGAAATGATATTGCAACTTTTTTTTAATATACATGTATTTTGCATCGAATGGCACCACAAACTGCATATATATCTATTCTCAAATTTGATTTATTTTGTTTCTGAAAGATAAAACTCAATTTTTCTTCCGACAAAAAGTTGACTGTGGTAAGAATGTCCTCCTTAGACAATTTTAGAATAAATATTCAAAAAGTTAAAAACTCTTTCAGTTATGAGCCATTTTTAGACATTAATATTTTCGTCACATGTTCAGAATTGCACCATAATAAACCTCGAAGTACACAAGTTAGTTGTGATATTGAGAACTTCTGTAATTGCGTAGCAGTGAGTCATGCAGACTTTTATGGTAAGAGGGACACGATGTTTGGTACAGTGTCAAATGGTAACGTTAAAATCACATGCCTACGTTGCTTCAATACTATATGTACTGGAATGAAGAATCGTGAATAGAAAATGAAACGATATGAAGTAAATGTACATGGGACAAAATCGCACACAATACATAGAAAACATAGAAAACATAGAAAATTATCAATGAACAGGGCTTTTATTCCTGTTCTTCATCTTGACAGTTGATGAAGGGTTTTCAACAATGAACGAATCATTCATACCCTACAACAATGTTTATTTCATACAACAAAACTATTGAATAAAATTTGATTATTAAATCTAATATTTTTTTTTTACTTACACAGGGGTAGAAAGCTTAACAAATCTTCAGATATATACTGTTGGACAAGCTGTTCTTGGACCCAGTCATCTGGAATTAAGATGTTCATACAACCTAGAGTCCCGGGATGATATATTTTCTATCGACATATCCGCTGAATTGAACAGTCAGTTTAGAACAATAGTCGCATTTTATCCAGAAAATAGAAGAAAAGATGGCACACTTCGATATGACGGGAATTACCTAAATGGAAGAGTTACAATGAATAATCCCAAGCAATCTTCTAATGTCGCTGTACTGATATTCAATCAAACTGAATGTATAGATGAGACCAAGTACAAATGTAGAGTTACTTATGACAGTGACATGGGTACACAGACCAAAGAATCAGCCCCAACAGCCATTGTAGTAGAAGGTACTAAAATAATTTATATGATTAAAGTTGAAAACAATTATAAAGTACAGACAAGCAATTATTTTAATTGAAAAGCCAAATTATAGATGTACTGGACTTATTCTTGTCATTGAAAAGGATATTTTTGATTTAGTTCATAATGCTATATAAAATGTTTATAAGCAATAAACATGGATTCCGATTAAATGGTACTTATTTATTTAAAGGTAGTCCAGCAGAACCAGATAGTGTACCAAGCTATATACCCTCAGTGGTAGAAGAAGGTAATACAGTTGTCTTCACCTGTACTGGAAATGTAGGGAAACCGCAGGGTAAATTTAGATGGATTCTATATAGACGTAACGCCAATGGTATGATAATACAAGAATCGCTGTATGAAAACAAAACTTCAACAGGACTTCAAATGCCAGGAACCTGCACATTTAATGGTACCAGTCAACTCACACTTCAGATGGAAAGTCTGGACAACAACGCAGTAGTGAGGTGTCAAGTGGTTTATCAAGCTGTGCCACAGGGACATTTATATAAACAAACAACTAACATAAATGTTTATTGTAAGTTTTTTATCCTAATTTAAAAGCTGCTTAATATGGCATCATTTAAGTTTAGTGTGATAGTGTTTGAGGGGGAAAATTAGCTAAAATACATACTATATTATTTTATAAATAATTATTTGAAAGATTGTGTGGGAGTGTAGTGTAGAGAGTCGAAAAGTCGTAACAACCAATCGAATTGAAAGGACCAATATTTTATCTTAAACATCCAAATTGTTTTATACACTTCAATGATAATTAATTCCATGATTTCCACATGTTTTTTTAGAAAGAAATCAATGACAGATTCTTTATTTGTAGTCAGGGAACGGGATAAAAGGACAGAAACACTAGTTGTACAACATTTACTATAAGCGGACAGCTTATCATTATATACTATGTGAAACTATGTGGAGCACACGGCCTTGAATGTTAAAGTCTAGAATTTACACTGTATCCTTAAAAAAAACTTATTTACGTTAACCACCACAATGTCCGTATATGTCCCCAATGAGATGATCGATTATGCATTGTCGGACGAGCCAATAGACACATCAAATTTCCTTTGTTAACCAATCATAGTAATTGTTTTTAATTTTGACAAGATTTGAAAACCTCAACTTTTGTTTGGACTGATGATCAAATGGTTACCAAAAGCGAGGTACTGAAAACAATCAAAGTTACAGTCAAATAAAGAAGTTGCTCCCAGTGATAACACATTCTCAAAATAGGTTTGTCAGTTTAACTATTTTTGTAAGGAAAAAACATCATTTGTTTTGAGTCATATTTATCAGTCAATCAAAATGAAATTAGACGAGCTGTCAATAGGTCACTACAAGTTCAACAATCACAAAACAGCTAACTTTCAATTAATTAACATTTATATATTACACAGACAGCGTGAGGAATGTTACAGCAGCAAAGTCAAAATTAAACGACACTTACGACCCAGGAAGCATCACGTTGACCTGTACATCAGATGGTAACCCAGCTGTTAGAAATGAAGACTATAGATGGTACAAAATGTCCCAGCAATACACAGTCATAGGAACTGGATCCCAGCTAACCGTTACAAATGCTACTGTTGGGGAATCAGACGTCTATCTTTGTGTGGCACAAAACAGTTTCAATGGGAAAACATTTAGCTCAAATAGCTCAATAGAGGTTAAAATAGGTAAGATTCTACAATCATAAACAACCACAAATGAGGCACTTTAAAAATCAGCATATACTAACACATTTTGGAATACAAAGCTGCAGTTATCTTTGTTTTGATATCTAGTCACCAAGCGAATGTTTATGTTTTCAGAAAGTATAACAGTAAAGATGGTAATTAAAGAGTGTGGCAATGGCAGTAATATGCAATGAACACAACTTTCAAATTCAATAATAATTTACTGTCACTCCTACTAAAGAATATAAAAATATGAAGGTGTGGAAAGATTGCCAATGAGACAACAGTTACTATCAACCAGAGACCAAATGACGTTCATATAAGCAATTATAGGACACCATAAGGCCTTCAACAATGATCAAATCCCAATACAGTAAAATAACCTATAAAAGGTCGGGGTTTATAGCTTTTTATGCGGTACGGGTTTATCTCATTGTTGAAGGCCGGACGGGGACCTATAGTTGTTAATTTCTATGTCATTTGGTCTCTGGTTTCAAATAAACGAAAAATCAAATATGATAAACAACGATAAACACTGAAATTCAGACTCCAACTCCTGATACTCACTATAAAAAAAAAACACATAAAATTACAAATATACTTAGATAATAGACTACTAGATCTTTCAAAATTTAGATATCTATGAACTGTTCTGCATGTTATGTAAGACAACATGTCAACTCGTTTGACAGGATTCAATCATACGATGAGCATCTTCTTAAAATGTTTAAACCAATTGGATGAATGTACTTATCGCATATATATACTAATTTGTAACTTGTATTGTAACATACTATTTTATTGCAAGTTAGTATTATCAGGGTATTATCGGTGATAATAGACAGAACACATTGACAAATTCAAAATGAAAACTTATCAGTAAAAATATAAATACTTAGTGAATCGTTACTTTTCATTTATTCGTTCGTTGAATTCATTCATTCATTAATTTATCCATTCATTCATTTATTCATTAATTCATTCATATGTTATGTGCATTTGTGATATCGGCTGACTTTGTTCAATTGGTTTATACCAAACTAAAACTGTAGAACGTAATTGTATTATAATTACGGTTATTTGTGTCAAAATGAGAAGTTCCAAATGTAAATTCTTTTGGGCGCTGTATTTAAAATGTTTAACAATGAAATTGTATAGAATGTGTAAAACGGTTACATCAAACACAACGCGAACATGATTTTAAGAAAAAAACAGACTGGCAGTAACTAACTAAACAAAGGATACAGATTTTATGTAGATATTTTACTGGTAAGTATCATATATCATAGATATAAAATGGATTTCTTAACAAGCATCACAACGAGCATTATATATATTTATCCGAATATAAAAGTAAGAAGATGTGGTAAGGTTGCCAGTGCGAGAACTATCCAAAAGAGACCAAATGACGTAGATTTAGACAACTATAGGTCACGGTTACGACCTCATGAGCAAAAGCCATACCATATAGTCTGCTATAAAAGGCCACGTGACATGACGATATGTAAAACAATTCAAACGAAAACCCAAACGGCCTGATTTATATACAAAACAACAAACGATACACAAATATATATGATATACAACAACCACTGAATTACAGGCTCCTGACAGATACATACAGAACGAGGCGGGGTGAATGCGGGCGTATATATGTATATTAAAGACAATTGTAAAATAGATCTGTATTTTGTCATCCATTTTATGTTCTTAATCAATTATAAGATTTACAAATGCTGCATTAATTAGGCCGGATCATTTCGAAAAAAGATAGTAATGGCATGATTATATATACTGATAATTGGGACACAAATATTAGGCGTATTATTTCTAAAACATTAGTATGATATTCTATCAATAAGTTTTTTTAAGCAAGGAAAAAACAAAAAAAATATTTTAATTACATTTATATAGCTTGCGTGTACCAATTTGCATATCCGTTTATTATCATCCTTTTTATAATGAAGACATTTACAATATCCTGGCCTTTATATAAAAAAAAACATTGCTGCCATTGCTAAGTTTAAAATCCGCCGAATGTCAGTAAGTTATTTAATCATTCTTTTTTGCAGTTACTTAACATACATAAATAGTAGAAGTCTGATCAAATATTAAAAATCACTCTCTAATGGTCTATATAAAATTGAGAATGGAAATGGGGAATGTGTCAAAGAGACAACAACCCGACCATAGAGCAGACAGACTATTCAAGCTTCATGGTCTGTAATGTACAAATGTATTATCTTTTGGCATTTGGGTGAGGGGCTTTCTATGACCTAGCTACATTGACGAAGCTGGTTCAGTCAGTAGCGATAAATATGAATGACTGCCCATTAAACTTAGCTTGCCCATGCTATGTCACTGCTTCCTGGTCTGATTTTTCGCTTTTTGTGGCTTTTGTTTTTGAATAAGACAATCGTTGTAGCCAAGAATAGTATCTGCAAAAGATATAAAATATGATATATTAGAGGTTTGGTATTAAACTATTGCAATATACCGTACAATATTCTATTGTACGATTGGATGAAATTAGAGTTTTTAAACGTTAATTTCAATAACATTTTAATTCTAAAAACTACTTCAGTAATTCAAACTGAGGCTTGTATATAATGTTAATACCATTTCAGATTTGATCATGCGTATTCCAATCCATGCATGTAAATGCTGCATACAGTGCGAGAAATAAAAGTACAATTTTACAAATCGAATGTTGAGTATCTTAGGATGGAGATTATTTCTCACATAAAAAGCACACAGAGTTTAAGGACCTCCCTTTCGTCGCTGGTGAGTAAGATAAGCGTTAAATGTCCAGTGGGACATATCACAGGAATTCCATATCAAGGCGAATTGATGTTGATTTGGAATGAATATAAACTCTGCTGTATACTAGGCCGAAAGGTGAAGCCGGAATTTTTAACGAGCTAGTTTACAAGGTGACATTTCGCAAAAAGACATGTCACCCTACTCGGACACATTTTTTACTCCGAGCCGAACTAGTCTATGGTCTTCCCCCCCCCCAAATTGCCGCATGCTTGGCAGATATGAATTTTCAAGTCTTTGGTTTATCCCAGTCGAGGATCGAGGCGAGCACGCGGTCGCTGCAGGAGAACGAAAAGAAGAAAAAACTGTTTGATTTGTCAATGTCGTTTGTCTGGTGTAACTTTAATAAGGGATTAATTTGATAATAAAAATAATTTTACCACGCTTGGAGTCTAAATGAAAAAAGTGTAACTTTATTTTCATGTTTCTTATTTGGTAATAAACAGCTCTTTGACATTTCACTTTTCTTAATTTTTGCCGTTTTCAATCATTTCGAATGCACTGTTCCTATTTCCAATATTGCACAGAAATGTTGAAATTGCATCGATAGAAAGCCGTATTCGTTGAACGTGGTTAACATATCGGTATTTTCGTGTCAGCAGAAGAGTGGATGTTTAAAGTCCACAGAACAATCCATTAACCATATGCATGGCAATTAGTTTGATATGTAACGAGAATGAATAGATTTGTTTCGCTTACCTTTCAGTGTATCTGAGATCACCCCCGATTTTTGGTGGGGATCGTGTTGCTCAGTCTTTAGTTTTTTATGTGTTGTTTTGTGGACTGTAGTTTAACTTTCCGTCGTTTTTCGTATTTTTTGGTCATGGCGTTGTCGACTAACGAGTTTGGAGTCTCCTTTTACTATGATATCTTTCGTCTCTGTTTTATTTAGAACAGATTGACAAACTTAGCTGGTATTAAAGCGTGTTTGTTCATAAACGTACAATCATCGGGACGATATTTTGCATTATAAGAACACATTATTCCGACTCCAAGTCAACCATTCTAGGCCAACTTCTAACTTCTGCGCTGTTGGCGAAGGAGTAGTGAAAGAAACAACAGATAAGAGAGTTTTTAAGTCGTCTGCTTGATTCCATAATGGATCGAAAACATGACTACTATCCTTCAGGGGAGCTCGATACAGCAAAACGAACGAGAGGCTTCTTTTATCCCATTTCAAATAACAGTTTACGCGAGGATTTTTCTTATCTTTATTGATACATGTGTCTATTAAGGATGTATCTACTGTGCTTTGTGAAACCTTTGAATGGTCGTAAATTATAACATACACAGAAAACATACATACAGTAATACCGTACGGTGACTATGGTTGCTTACATCTGCGTCAGTTAGTCTCTGGTAAATAGTTGTCTCATTGGCAATCATACCACATATTCTTATCTTTATATTTCTTTGATCCAAAGCTTGTATTTCAACGTGCAATTATAGGTATAGCAACTGCTGGTCTAACATGTTTAAAAAAAAAAAATTAAAAAATGCATGTGCTTTCAAGAATGTCATCTTAAAGAACTTGTCTTCTAAATGACCCATAAAGCTACCATTATTAAGGTTTAGATGGTGAGGTAACTCACTGTAAACTTAGGGAACCAGTAGAATGTTTTACTTACAGCCACGATCAGACATAAAGTTGGGAACCAGTAGAAAGTTTCACTTATCAGCATAATCAAACGTAGATTTTGGAACCAGTAGAATATTTTACCTACCTGCATGAGCAAACATAGAGATATCACTGGAGCTGTTATCGCTGGATTGCCTATCACAATGTCCCAGAGTTTGTTGAAACATCCCTGAAAAACGAATGTTTACTTCAATCGAACTGTGCTATGGATAAATCGTACAATTACACAATTTCATAAGTCGGCAATGTTGATTTCTCATTCCTAAGCCCAAACTGAAAAAGGATTTTTGTTAATGTTTTTGGGACTCTTTGTTCAATTGTGACGGAGGTAAATTTTCAGATTCAAATATAGCATTATACTGCTTTTTATTTGCATACAAGGACATTCCATATATCATATAATGCCGATTGTGGTGCGGATACGTCATTGGGGTCTGGCAGGCCCAGACATTCTTGGGTTTTATTTCTTCGTGATATGTAATTAAATAATTTAAACCAGACCTACCTTAAAAGTACAATAGAACTAATAGTGAGATTTCGTAAATATCATTTTCAAATTCGACAGTTATTTCATTCACATCATTATATGTCTTATATAATTTTTACATTCTAGAGACAAGATACGTCTTTGTATATGATGCATGAATGAAAAGAAGTACCGATTATCAGGTTGTCTGCATATTGGTATTGTAAAATATCAGCTGCTAGTCACAATATGAAGCTTTTTGTCGAGTGAGCGCAGCGAACGAGTTCAAAAAGGCTTCATAATGTGTCGTTTTATCGGGTTATATTTGCGTATTTTGCATGATAGAATCGAAACAAGTGTTTTTTTTTTGTTTCACCAGCATAACGGAATCTGATTTGTTAAAAAGGCTTATGCGTCTGAATTTATCAAAGGTGAAAGTGTACATAAACGTTTTATGAGAGATGACTTACAGTCGTGTTTTTATATACGTATTGTATTTAAGTAAGCATTTTATAGGGAGGCGTACAAAATGTAAGTTAATTATATCGACTATATTAAACACAATTTCCTCTCTGTGTCATTTTTCTACATACCGTGTTATAATTATTTACAGTTGACGACAGACTCTCTGCACAGGTAAAGTTGTCTGATGTTGGTAGACTTTGACAACAACTGAGAGGTGTCACGAGGATAATTCCTGTCCCTGTGTAGTTATATAACCAGTCTGTGGCAGAGGTAAAATCCTGATAGCTCTCAACACCACAACAAGAAAACTGAAATAAAAAAAACAAGTACTTTTTAAATCTAACCTTCAAGATGTCAACCTTGAATTTTTGTTCCATGGATACTGCCTCGGTGTTGCATGGAGAGTATGCAACAACATACATTCTTTTGTTAAATTACATTTAGAGGTTGCGCTCTTCAAATAAAGACAATGCAGCTGTCATGAAAAGCAAGTTCCTTAATAATATTAATTCCAAAATGGAAAAAAAATCCGGAATATTATTTCCAATAGCAATTTTAGAGTATTTATTCCTGAAAGAATAAAGGGCATATACTATTTGCTCCAAAAGGAACAGATATTATAGCATTGTTTATAACCAGGTTTCACGAAGAACTTATGTGAGAAGGAACAAATATACGTTGGCACAGCAACGAGTCAAGAAACGTAATCGTATGACGGAGACAGGGAACTAAAATGCCTCTTGTAATTAACGCTGCATTTATTTAAATTTGTTCAAGTTTGCGGTCATACATTTCAGTAATGTCTCCGTGTCAGTTCGACCTATGATTATATCTACCACATATCTTACATTAAACACTCTTTATTCTCACCTTCTGATTAATAAAGTTCCATGCGATCGATTCAAAGTTAGTCCCATTAAAACCTTGATATTCCGATTGTATCGATGACTTTAGTCCATCTTTAACAGGATCTGTTATCTAAAGAACATAAAACAATTGAGGCGTCATGCATTTTCTGTTAAATATGTTAATGTTAAGATTTATCAAGCCAATACATTTGTTTTCTATGTTATGTATACATGCGAAAGAGAGGCGAAGGATACCATAGAGACATTCAAACTACAATACTACCGTATCTTTAGAGGAAGCTGTTTAAAACAAAATTGTTGTGTCCTAATTCTGTAATGTTCTAAATACAGTTATATTACTTTCGTACTTTGATTATTAACGTTATAAAACTCTAGCATTCAAAATTCAACGGAATCCAGCTAATAGCTTATAATAGACAACATGAGTCACAATATTCATTGTTTTTAAAAAGCATAATGTTAAGGATAAACTTGAAGTTTGTCATTTTTTACATTTAAACAACTTTTAATCAAAACCTAAAAGTCAAATGGAGAAAAAGCGTTATAGGTTTTTCCCTGCAGTGTATGAATTAGATGTCTCCGACTCCCCTTCCCTAACTCGAGAGACAAGTCTGCAGAAGACGATTACAAATACATACTTCATTGTTAAATGAATCTTCAAGTTTTAAACGCATGATTGTAAAGGAAGATCATTTCACTGATGTCAATGCTTGTTTCCCATAGAATATACTAAATATCTTAAGTGTACCTGTGTCTTTTCCCATAGAATATACTTAATATCTTACATGTACCAATGTCGTTTCCCCACAGAATATACTAAATATCTTACATGTACCAATGTCGTTTCCCATAGAATATACGAAATATCTTACATGTACCAATGTCGTTTCCCATAGAATATACGAAATATCTTACATGTACCAATGTCGTTTCCCATA